GTTGCTTCAAGTTTGGCACACAAACATGCACCACCTGCTTGAAACCTGGCGAACAAAAAAGCCTCAAACATTCCTAGATTCCAACCTGACTGAATCTTCCAAGTCTCACTGGCTTGCAAAAGCGATCAACACTTGAATCACGGCACCAAAGGTACCTACACAAATACTGGCCATATGTATAGAGAGAGAGGGAGATGCAAACAGTCCTACTAAATTCCTCAATCTTATCATTTTTCCCCTCTCCTAGATCAACATCCTGCTGTGTGGTCTTCGCCCACACCCCCGTGGCCGGCGACGTTCCAGGACGCTTTTCACCATTAATTTGCGGGCCGTGTGGCTACCTGACGCGAGGGATCATTGGATCACTTGTTGGAGTCGAGTCAATCTGAAAGAAACATTGCAATTGAAGCTAAATCATCAGTTGGGTCACCTGACCCAAGAGATTCCCGATACACTATATAAGCAAAGGGTACCCAAATAGATTTGAACAAGAAACGCAGGAAAACCGCTTCTTGCGCCCAAAAGTGCTATCCTTTGCGTCGATCCGTGCTTGGTTTCAGGCTAACGGCCCTTGATCGCCAAAGGATGCATACATTCAGTGAGGTGCAACGATTTTTCCCTCTAGCAAGCTGGAGCTGATGAGGATGTTGGTGGTTGAAACCTTGTGAAAGTTGGCACAAACAGCCGAGGTCCCGGATTCTTGCTTAACATCCCCCATGAGAGCGAAATGATTTCGGGGGTCCCACATCTTTAGAGCCTGTCCACCCCAGTAACCAAGTAAGCTCCTGTCTGCTTTCAACTATCTATTAATTAATATCATAAGCACATTCTGCATTGTTCCCTGTTCCCTGTCTTGTGTCTTTGCGAGAACCAACGGCTCCATCACCAACCGCTGGGAACTGCCCTGTCTGTCATGTCAGTTTCGGGTGGCACTTCACGATGGCATCGATCCAAACGGGGAGAGCTAAAGGTTGGGTCGGTGTCCATGTTCATCCGGAAAACTTGGTGTTTCATAGCAACTGGCAACCCGCTTGGGATTGGGGATACCTGAAATCGTTCAGCACATCCTCCCTACATTGTGACTGTTGCACAATCATGAAGAACTCGCACTGTTCCATTGGATGGTTTGGAAGTGAGTCGCACAACAAGAGGGACGACAAGTGGGTTTAAGCTGGCCATGTCCACCCGCCGCCCGCTGAAAGAGGGCGCGGGTCGGAGGACTGACTCAGCTGACGGCACCAAACACGGAGCATCTCTGTTCACTTGGAATGACCAAACACCCGGTCTTACCGCACAAGAAAACAATACCAAATAACGTAAAAAGATCAAAAAGAAGCACACAAGGCCAGATCAACGTCGGTAAACGCATAGGTAGCCGTATGTAGCCCGTCTTAGCCCGCATGGGTGAGTGAAATCTTGAGTTGGTGTCTGTGGCCCACGGGCAACGGCCCAAGCGGTGTGGGCACCTGACTCAGACGTTCCTTGTCCAGTAGCAGTCTTTGCTGCGGCACTCTCTTGGAGCCTGGCTGCTTGAAGGGAATCATTGAAGAGTCCCAGGCTAGAGTTCTTGTGAGGGGATGAGCTCGCTTGAAACTCCGGCGCTTTCCTGGATTTGTTGTGCTGACGCATTTCAGGCTTCGATTTGATCTAGTCAGCCTGGTGTAGAAGGACTACTGCATGTCCACTTTTACTACTGCATGTCCACTGGGAAGTCGTGGGTTGAGATAGATTTGTAGGATAGCACAAGACAACAACCACACCCGACAACTTAGAATTGTATATATATATTGTGGTTTGTGGGAGTGCAAAGCCTCTTGGCTCAACTCAACAAGAAAGGAAGGGCTTTGAGTTCTTCCTTTGCCAAGCCGGCCCAAACTGCTATTGCCCTGCAACAAATAGCACCGCAGGGACACACATCGCAATCAACCCCCATGAATGGAACAACATCAACATCAATCTTTTCAACGACAAATGAGCTCGGTCGAACTGACATTCAAGAGGCCGCTGCACTTGCTTCGTGTGCAGTTGAAACTTCTACATTCCAAATCTGTTGCTTTCATGGGGCATGTTCTACATTGCTTGAATGAGGTTGGGTGGGAACAAAGCAGGTAGGAATCGAAGAGCTACCCCACCTTCCCGGTTCGCAGCCACAAGCTTCAAACTGCATGACAAATGAATTTGAAGGAAACTAATAGCGATGGCCTCCACCCTAAGAGCGATGGCCTCCAACCTAATAGGAATATTAGGAATGGCCTCCAACCTAGAAGAGATGTTGAAGGAAACTTTAAATGGCAACTGATATTAATCCTCTAAGTAAGGTCCTACCCTTCAGTCACGAAATCATGGCCAGCTTACACGCCGCACTTGGGATGCTGGTATCATCCATTATCTATATTGGGTGCCAAATGTTGTGGCAACTCTGGCAACCATCTTTTGCACTAATTTAAGCCCACACTTTAGCGGCTCCAATGCATAGGTGTTTCCACTGTATTGGCTTCGCAGCTGAATAACCCAAGATCCCTTGGCAGTCCTTCTTGGCACAAGCGCCGACCATGCGCTGGTTTGTCTTGTCACGGGCCATGCAGAAGCCCCAATCCTTGTCATCTTTCCTTTGGCACAGCATGGCACAGCAGGATGAATTTCTGGCCGGGTTCCTCTTGGAAGGACCAAGACGAGACCTCCGTTTGGAGATTCCGAAAGGACCTTTTTCAAACATCATAGAACATGTTGGAATGTTTCAACGAACAAATGGTGTCAACGGCCATGCCACCGATCGTCACAGTGTGATGCTGGCCACAGGGGTCTACTTACAGTAGGCAAATGGTGCAGGGCGCACGAGCCGCTTGTGGGCTCTCCACATGCGGTAATACATGGTAATGCCCGGCGAACCAAAGCCATGCCATGTCTCAACCAATTAGGGATACAAACTTACATGTCATCCCCTGCACAGTTCCTAAACATGATAAACATGGGGGTTGCTTGCTATGGGAAGACACATGGAGTTCAACCCCCAATGTGAAGGAGGGGTGTCATTCACTTGTATTGACCCCTGACAAGTTGCACGGGCAGTACAAGTCGGCCTCTGTCATTCACTACAAAGTGACCGCAGCAAACCCTCGAGTTGTTGATCCCACAAGTTCAAAACAGGTGCGCAGGGCTTGGACGCACCTCGAGCAGGCTCATTCTTACAAACACCCTAAAACTGTGTCTAGAGTAGTAAACTGAGCCGTATTGCAAAAGGATGCAAAAGGATTCACAAATGTCTTTGATAAATTACTGAGCAACTGTATATCCACGGAGCTCATCTGTGTGGAGTCTGGAGGTTTACTAATTACCATTAGTATCCATGAGTTATATCTCTTGAAGAATTGGGCACATGATATTCATGCAAAACCCCGATCACCTACAACAACCTCCTGCCAACCACACCAACTTTCCTACACTGCACCACCTTCAACAGTTGAACTTCGTAATAAAGGAGTCATCATAGCACGACCCATCTTATCCGTTATTCACCGGGACTCAACATTAAAGTCAGCGACACCCCTTGTTTGCTTTTCACGGTGCCGAGTTGCCAAAAACAGTCGCCACCACAATCGCGATAGGCCTGGACATGGAATCGACGCTTCTAAAGGCTGAGAGGCTTGGTTCGGTTGGCAAGGGCATTACTACAAGCAACAAGAAGCTACAAGTAACAAGGTGCATCGCTAGTAGCAAGGACGCTACTAGTACAAAAGGACATTACTAGTAAGAAGGGACTGTATAGTTCATGACTAGTAACAAGAAGCTAGTAGTAACAAGTGCCACGCTTCTAGTAACAGGTGCCTTACTAGTAGTAACAAGAAGCTACTAGGAACAAGAGCCACGGGACATTACTACTGTATGTTCTCACCTCTTGGGGCGCTGGCTGAGAGGCTTGGGAGGGGTGATTGAGTTGGCAGATCGTAAGATCTTGGTTGGGTTGGTCGAGGAACAATACACCTTCTTAGGTTGGCTGCAAAACATCGTTCACACCATGTTGGGTGGGACTGCGCGTGTTCGATACCTCATGAGCTGGGACCTGCATTTCACACCCTCATCTGGTTGCGATTGTCCTCTGGGCAGGACGCGGCCCACATCTTCAAAGAGGGACAGCCAAGGACCATATCCTAAAAGAAAGATCAGCACACGTCTAAATTCCAAATCTTCGTATGCAGGGGCTGCTCCCATACTGCCAATGCACCTTCTTTTCACAGATACCAACCATGCCGGTGTTCGTCTTGTCACGGGCCATGCAATAGCCTCCTTCCACACTCCTTAGTGCGCATCATAAAGGATGCGCGGTTTTCTGTGACACGATCCTATAGACTCAGCCAGCAACAATGTTAAAGTCGCCAACTGCTGGTCTGTGTTCAGCAAATGAATGACCGCTGCAGCGTGGCAATCTGTCTTTTTCATCTATCATTCTTTTTTGGACAACACTTGGTATATAAATGACTCGATGCTTCCCAGAAGCATGGAGTTTCGCACATCTCGCACAGCCATTGCTGCCCACACATAGCAAAGTAGCACAGCACGCATCGTACAAGTCAGGGGATGTCGCAAGACACGCAAAGCTGAACAGCTGCGTGCCATTCACACAGAATTGGAAGCAACCGAGGTGAATACGTTGAACGAGCTCGCCTTCCCGGGCCGTTCCACAACAACTCTTGCATTTGAACTGGCAGTTTTCAATGCTTTCTTTTCTTCAAATGCAAGCCTCTTGTGTTTGTTGATTGACTGATCAACCGTACTCTTTCACGTTTTTCAACTCCCCTCGCTGGAGAACGAATACTGTACCTGAAAACACAGCCACAAAGACTCCCCTGACAGGTCAATGTGCTCTCCGGCAATTTGAGTTTCAAATATTATGGGTGAAAGGTACACAGTCACACCTGCACACACCTACACACACACACACACCGTCTACCTGGTCTATCTTGGGTTGCTGTAGAGAGTGCAAGTGAATATCAAGGTCATAGATTCATAGTAAACTAGTGACAATTTTTGAACTGGAGTGCTGGGTGGAGGATAACCCAAAGCTTCTTGTATGTTCCTCCTAAATCTTTTCACACCTCCGCACAATCCAGCGACGCAATGTTTTACCAGAATCGATAGTATCCAGCAGCATGACCTGAGCACAGGTTTGTGCTGGGAAGTGTTGGGGGTGACTTTGCAGTGTCACACCAAGAACGACCTCGTGGCTAGCATGGTGCGCTCTGATGGTCAGCGCTGAACCAGAAAGTCCCTTGTTTGGGCGACAGTCCAGCGTTGGATCATAGAGATTATTGCTTTAAAGAGTTTGATTGATTTTTGTGCTTCTCTCAGATTGGTTCCTTTGAGGATGCTATTGCCGCTCAATGGGTCAACTTCCAGCCGCTGGGGACCCGGGGATGAGGAATGTACATGAAAGTACTAGTTACTAGCATTTACTAGCGTAAGGCATTCCGAGAAAAATAATGCAAACAGGGGCAAAGTCATGCAAAGTCTTACAAAACATTGGGGAAGTACCCTTTTGAGGTCGGACATGGTCCGACCGTCTTCTACCATGTCAACTTGTAAGTCTTTCTTGAAACTCTTCGGAAAATATATGAACATATCCTACTCCGAAGAGTGCACCATCAGCTTAACAAAGACTCGGAGCCTTTGGACATGCTCCTTTTGGAGAGAAGTCCAAAGGTGATTGTAGCCCAGGAACAAGGATTTCCACATGTTCTTTTTCTGGTCCAAACCTTCAATCCTCGTGAATTGGGGTGCCCTTGGTCTGTGTTACAAGGATGCCCTAGTCTATCAACAGTTACTCTATGTTAAATTCAAAAACCCTGGCGATTGAACAGTCAACCTCCAACAAGTTTCAAGCGAATCTGCCAGCCGAAGGACAATAGGTTGGTAAAACGAAGGCCCAAGCAATGCTCATGTTGATGAAGCCTTGCAACTGTCCAGGTGCCACATATTGAGGATGTGCACTCTGGTAGTAGAAGCGCGCGCCTTGCTTCCAGGTGGAATGGTTGCTACAACAAAAAGCCATATATTTTCTGTGCCACATTGTGCCGCAGAAACCCCGTTCTTTAAAGCTCCTTCTGTTCCGATGCTCCGTGTTGGACACACTGGGAGGAGTTTATCTCCATAGCAGTTCTTTTAGTAGTAACCAGTCACAAGAAGCTAGTAGAAACAAGTGCCTTACTAGTAGTAACAAGTGCATCGCTTCTAGTAACAAGTGCCACGCTAGTAGTAACAAGTGCCTTACTAGTAGGAACAA